ACAGAAATGCAGGCACACATTACTTGTTCATTCCTTAAGTTAATGTGTACGTGATGTAATATTGTAAAGTGAGCGCATTCATTGCCCCCTTCATTCTCTCCTGCTCTAATGTGGCCTTCATTCACTGGACGAGAGTACTGCCTTTTCTTCCCCTCAGGTTCATGATGACACGATCGTCTCCCGACGGCGGCGGCGAGGAGAGAGACTCCCATCAAGTAGGCCGCCTGTTAACCAGGCACTAAACACGCTGCAGATAAGAGGAGATTAGCAGGCTGTTATTGTTCCAAAGGGGAGTCCTCTGTCACAGAGACCAGGCTCAGTCGGTCAGAGAGGAAGGAAGGAAGGAAGGAAGGAAGGTAGGATGGTGCAGGTCACTGAGGGAGAAGAGGCTTCCTCTCTGTCGCTTCCTTCGGCAGCGTCGCCAACGGGACTAAAAATCAGATGAATGTAGACGAGGGATATTTGACATTTGTTCTGGAAGTGACACCATTGTTATTAAAGTAAGTGTAGGTTGATGTGTGCATGTGAATAGGTGCAAAGTCACTGTGCGTTTTAGGTAATCTTTAGTTAAATCTTACCCCGTAACATGCTGTTTTATGCTTTTCTTTCCGGTAGAGTGTAGTATATAATAATATAAAAGGTATTCATCGGTTGATTTCAACTCTTCATAGATTAATAAACTTTTCTGAGTGCACCATCTCATCAAACATTGTAGATGTCTTGGGCATCATTTCATACACTTTTGGACGTCCAACAAATACCATTCTTTAAGTGTTTTTTTTAATTATAGGATTATCTCAAACTTTGCATCTAGATAATGCAAACTGAATTTTTTAATTCTTAATAAAAACTATATTATATATATATATATATATATATACATAATTTTACTTTTTGCAAGTAACACAACAATATAAATTAATATAAATGAAATGACGTGTAGTGGTATAATTCCAAATTCAATTCTCTGAATTTGTATTATCATTATTCAAAAGTAATTTATGAACTAAATACACTAAATTAAGTCTAAAGGTGGTATAGTAAATCAAAAGCAACATAGACTATCATTAAATCTTAAAAACTTTAAATTAGATGTTGGTATCCAGATTAGATTACACCACTGATCAAATGAATCCACCTCATACGTCTCTAACTTTAATTGGTTCCTTTACCTTACCCTGAAAGTTGACCCCTTTGACCTTTTATTCAGTGTTTCACTCCTGTTCCACTTCCTCAGTAGATAAACGTGAGGATGAATGCTCTCTGCGGGTATACAAAACACTGAGCATTATTTGATTTAGACTCCCCTGGGTGTTATGACTGGGAAATAATTGTACGCATTTGTATTTGTTTCTTTTACACTGTGGTGTGCTCTGGGTAATTCTTAATACCTTCTAGAGATTATACGGTAACTCCCAAACTCCCATGATTATAATTAAGCCTGACTTGGTTATAAAATGAGCAAATAGCAATTTAGTTTTGCATCGTGTGAGGGAGCATCTCTGTGTGTTCCTCTGCGTCCCCGCGTCTCTGTATACGTCTTTGAATATTCTTGCGATTGAACTGGAGAGTTTGAATATGCACATACATTTGGTGTGTGTGTGTGTGTGTGACGGGGAAAAGCGCTGCAGAGGGAAAGGCATCCACACAGGGATGTTTGGTGGGCCAAGGCGACTGCTATCATCTCCCTTCTGGCAAAAAGAGAAACATTCCCTCATCCATTCTCTTTTCTCCTCCTCATTCTCTATCTTGCGCTCTGTTCAGCCCCCCCCCCCCCCCCCCCCCCGTTCTGTATCACTTACAAAGGCAGCCGTTTCCTCCTAAAAATGAGGCCACGCATGGAAGGTATGCAAATGAAATCATTGCTCGTGGATTAGAATGGGACACCATATACCCTAAATCATGATTGTCAATCATGGCTTGGGATTAAGGGATATGCGCTCACAGCCCAAAAAGGCCACCCCCCCCCCCCCCCCCCCACCTCAGGCAGATCCCCATTGTGAGGAGCTCTGAGGAAGAGAGGGCTCCGCAGGGGAGCGGAGCAACACTGGAGCACGAGTGCCCCCTTCTGTCCCGACGTTCACCGCAGCCATTTCATCATCAAGCACCAGGCGGCCTGAACACAAATAGAGGCTGGCGCTCGCTATTCATTTACATGCAGCGTAGCCGCAGGCAGAAGCTTGATTAGACAAACGCACATGCTTTGGTGATGCAGTGTTTCATCTTCAGAGGAGGAGAGAGAGACCTCATTTGTTTCTCTGGCATGTGTGCAAGCTTGGTTCAACATCAGTGGGATGGGGGGGGGCATAGGCCTTACAAACTAACAGATGTTTGTTTGCCCCGTGAGTGAATGTGTTTAGCAGCGAAGTCGCTTAACCATCACAATCAATTTGTTCTTTGTACTGTCACTGTGTGATTTTAATATGTTGCGTATGCAGCATGCTTTTTAATGTACTTTTGTACATCTGCCAACTTGTCAGCCAGTGGCTGCATGTTGTATGATTATAAGCATCGAGCGCGTTTATTATATCAAGATAAAAATAGAAATGTCCATTTTTGCACTTTTAATTAATACTTATATTGTCCTAAAATGATAGTCATACACATGATTAATAATTAATAATATCAAACATGATTCCTTTTAATGACAATTTATGAAATAGTCTTAATTTGTGGTAGTAGCTCCTATCTCGGAAACAGTGCTGCTCCTCACACAGGGACAAGTTTAGTGGATTGTGTGCAGACCCTGGAGCCCTCAGCTAGAGTGCCAGTCTGTTCCCGTGGAGCAGTCAACCAGACAAACCCAGCCAAGAGAGAGCGAGGCACAGGCAGCGGGCCAGCAAACGGGCCTGGAAAACACTCCACCACGGCAGAGAATTAATAGCGTTCTTATTGCAGAGTGGGCATGGGGGGGGGACAGTAGTTTTGCATCAAGGAAAAGGACAGTTGTGCATTATTGCAGGAATCAATGGGAGAGTTTCACCAGGCCGTTATCGGACTAGACCTCGATGAGGAGGAAAGTGAGCGGAGGAGCAGAGTTGGCAACGGTCGCATCCTGCACAGCACAGCTCCCGTCTGCCTGAGACCGAAGGTGGCGCGGCACCTGTGCCATTTTGGCCCCGGCATCGTATGGGCAGGAGGTCAAGGCCGGGGCAACATCTGCATCCCATCAGAGGACCTGGCCGTGTGCCAACATCAGGAAAGTCTCTCGCAGAGAAATCCTAAAGAATAGATTGCAAAAGGGCCGAAGCACGGATGCCCCATTTTCGCTTTCTTTCTTCCCAACCGCCATTGTCATCGACGCCGATCACACCTATTGCACGATTTCTAATTCTATCCTTTTGTTTTTGGAAATACAAGCCAATGACATTTACCATATTTAAGTTCTTTATGAGGGAAACACACTCTGCAGTGTGTCACAATTACCTGACTGATTTTAACACGTGGACCCTGACCGGCCCTGTCGGGTTTGCTACAGTTAAGTCCGCCGCCTTCGGCTTTGCGATGGTGGGTAAAACAAACCACCTAAATTGATACTAGCCGCCAGCACACTAAAGAGAAAATCATTATGCATCATTAGGTGAAGATTTAGTTTTCAACGTGTTTAGCAGGAATTAAGCAAAGCTCTTGTTGACATGGATTGACTGCTGTAATGCTTTATTGTCAGTGCTCCAGGAGGCAGAGGGAGGGCCGGCCTAGTTGGGGCGGCAGCAATGCGCCGAAAGCAAGGATTTATGGGATGTTGGGAGGACCAGCCTGTTGTAGCGCAGAAAGACTGGAAAGAAAGGAAAGTACGGTAGCAAGTACGGTCGATGATTTGGAAAATGAGACAAAGGAGACGGATGAAAGGGCGTCAAAGGACTCGGTTAAAGAATTTTCAAATTGTGTGCTTTTACAGACGTACATCACATGAATTTATTTGTATCGGAAGATCTTAAACGTGTTCTCTCAATGACAGATGCATGACACCCTCTTTAGATCTTAACTTTACAGATCCTTGGCTAGAAATGACTGGACAGGTCCTGATTATTGGATTATTCTGAAGTTTTAGTATCTGAATGGCTACAGGGACATACATCCAAGTGCTGTTGGCTTTTTTTGGAGGTGAAACTAGTAAAAGGTAGAACGGGGGGTAGGAACATGAACAACAACACGCAGATACATTTCCCTCCTCCCCTGACGCCTCTGTGTTTGTACGCGTTGGCGTCTTTGCGCGTCTGAATGTGCGCGCGAGAGCCGCTCAAACCGCCGAGCAGGAGAGGGCAGTCTTATCCAGCTCTCCAGTATTGACAGTATCACTAATCCCCTCCACCTGCTCAAACACCCACGCCCCCCCAACAAAAAAAAAAACACATCCCTCCGCCTCTTCCATGTGGCTGTGCCGGGAGTCCCCGGGGCCAGGATGCGCATCTGCCTCCGTCTCCACACCAGTTATCGGCCCCGGCCCGGCCACGCTCCCCCCGTGCCTCCCCCCAAAGCCTTCCTGCATCGTGCACATTAATCGCCGCAAAAACAAATAGTTTTCAAATGTTTGGAAAAGACACAGTGTTTGCATCAGGGCCTAACAAAATAATTTTTACAAGCTATCCAGTTGTGATTAGGGCTGGGAGAATTGAATTCATGTGGCATTGATAATATTAATATTAGCCTAATTAATTATGTTGTTTGAACTTGCACAGCACGGTGTGTACATTCTACACAACACTAACCAGCCGGAGCTGGAACTGAGCTCTCAGGCGTCTCTATCGCCCGCCGGCTCTCCCCAGTCCATGACTGCAGCACACAATTCATCAACTCCTGGATATCTAATCCCCCTGCGGCTCCGCTCACTTCCTGAAGTCTAAGAAATAACTTTACTGCGGCGACCAGAATTCCTATGAATACTTGATGACTTGCATGGGAAGGGAGACTGTTTCATCTCACTTCGTAAGTGGCATTCTTCTTCGAGCGCGTGGGCAAACCTCCCCATTTATGAAGGATGTTCAGAAAAAGGGTGATAATAAAATGCAACATTTTTTTTTTTTTAATGAGTCACTAATTAAGGTAACAGCAGTACAGTGGGAGCAGCATTGCGTCGCAGACAGTTTGAGGCAACAAGGACATCTGCCTTTTTTTTTTAGTGCAGAAGACAAGTGACTGAGCCCAAATAAGCCCTGTGTGAAGTGGTCCGCTGTAGTTTGTTCCCTTAATCATCACAGGGCAACATTTTAACGTCCCCTGACCCAGAAGCACTGCAGATCAAGCCAACCGTGTCTTTGGATGAGCAAGTGTTGATCTGTGCAATTACAGGGACACATACTCACTGACCCTTCACAGCAGTCATCTTAGCCGCAGAGGGGGACCACCCAGACCTCCAGAGAGGGTCTCAGTCCTGTTAATAGTTCAGATCACACTTCTCTGTGATGGCCTCTTGACCTCTACTTTGTGGTTCGAGGTCAGAGAGGTGGTCATGTGTCTCTCTTAGCCAGACAGGCCTCTGTAGCTCACGGTTGGTGGGGCTGTCTCCGTCAGGCCCCCTACACCTCATTACAAAGGGTGGCTGTTTCCAGTACACGGTGCTACTGCTGACTAATTGTGTGTCCTTACAGCATGATTGTTAACAAACTCTCTTTACAGCAGCTTTAGGGGTCCATTTCTGTGCACACTGGCAGCCACAGAATTTATATATTTGGCACAATAATAATAACAATAATAATAATTATTATTATTAAAAAATTATAAAAAAAAATGTTTTACATGAGCAGAAATCCATGTTGTCCATTTACCATAACACGTCAGAAAGTTTAGCCTTGTGATTTGGTGATGGATTAGTATTTAAAAACAAATGAAATATTAAGTCAATTGACATTTAGATTTCTTCAGCTCGAAGAAAATCGACAATGAAAAACGGTGAAATGCACATTTCCCACATTCAAGGAGCAGTAGCCTTTTGTCTCCCCGGTGTACAAAGCAACCCCAGCGGAGTCCGTATGCCGGAGCCAGGCCAACGCGCTCTCTGCAGAACGAGTGGTTTCTTCAAGGTGCATCGTCCCTGCAGAGCGTGGGTTTCTGGACGGAGGGCAGCGAGGTGTTCAAATAGTCATTAACTGAAGTGTCGGCCCAGCCTGGCCGAGCGGTAGTCCACTCGGAGCTGGACGAAGGCGTGCAGGAGGTTTCGGTCCAGATTGGTCAGCTGCTCACCTGAACAAACCTGCTTCAGGTTGTCGGGGGCAACCACCAGGAGGTTGCAGAGGGCGTGAAGTGTGTCGAAGAGCTGCAGCACCAAAGGTACCTGTAGAACAATACACTTAGGTGTTATATCAGATGACACATATGCAGTGTAACCAAGTGTATTCCTTTCACACATGCAAACCGGTCATGACAATTTAAATGTATTAATCATTTTACATAATGAATCATGTTTTTTTTTTTTATAAGGTTTAAAAAGGCTGCAGGATCTCCTATGTAACAATTTGCAGTGATAATACATAAGCAATAATATCAATAATTAGTTAGAGCCCTCTTTGTATTTACTGAAAGTGTAAAATCACTGAAAGAGCATCCCCCTCTAATTGACACAACTACTTTATGAAACAACAGACATAACGAGGGTCGTTGTTGGAGGATGCTCGTTTTGTATCCTGGACCCCCCCCCCCCCGGCACCCCCATTCCAATCCAACCCCCCCTCCTGGTAAGCAGGAAACCTTGGGGCTCGCCGGGATTCAGCCCCCCGCAAAAGGGCAGCATGCCTCCCATTGAGCTGTAGCTGTACTGCTGTAGGTGCTCGTGGATGAGCCGGTGAAAACGAACGCCCAACTCTGTCAGCACCGTGTCCACGTTTTTCCCGTCCATGGACTTCCGCACATGCTCCACCTGCCGACTGACGTAGGCGCATACCTTGGAGCAAGCCTTCCGGGGAGGGGAGACACACACGGTAAACATGCTGACCAATACAGAAAAGGTAATTCAAAAAACGCTACATTTTATGCGAAGAGCAAAGGAACAGATGGAAGTGATTTGAAAGTCACTTTCAAGCTGATTTGCTTGGCGTTGAAGCTCAGTGGCGGTGGCCGAGGCCTCGAGGTCTTACTGTGGTGTACTGGATCATGACGTTGTTCTCATCCTCGGGCTTGAAATCGGTCTTTTTCTGCTCCGTCGCCAAGATGTGCTTCATTTGGCCCACCATGCAGTTTATTGTTCTGTGTGTAGCAGAAAAACGACAGAACCAATTTGGGTTCTGGTGACATCTGAGACACATCACATGCAGCAGTAACCGCTCAATATACTGACCTGTCAATTCCTGTGTCCAGTTTCACTTCCATCTGCTCAATCACCTCTTTCTTCTTGTGCAGGCACTCGGCCAACTTAGGAGAGGAGCTGGAGACATAGATTTAAAACGAAGGTACAATTTAGAGGTTTCCCTCTTATTTAAGAGTAAGTTGATGAAGTGGCTGGAATAATCAACTAATGTGTATTATATAACCTGGAACAGACCTTATAAGAGGCATGAGCTGGTCATTAAACTGCTTGTCAAACAAGTGGAAGATAGAGTTTGCCTGTTGAACGACGTCCAGGAAGTAGAGGTTGGCATTCTTGGCATCCGATGAGGGAATTGCTGTTGATCAAAAGAGAGAGCGAAGAACTCCAGGTATAAAAAAAAAAAAAAGTGGTAGATCCTTAGATTCACAGAATGGCACCGTCGCCTGCTCTATATGGGTTGCATTTCTTTGATAAAATAATATTCCTTATGTAGGCAGCACTGGGAGACGAAAGAACATATTTATTTAATCCAGTGTAGCAGACTAAAAATAATAAAATACATCCTACATTCAGCCACATGGAGCATGAACAGAAGGGCCACAGAGGCACAACTCTCTGTATGACAAACCTCAAGTGAAAAAGGGCAACGCATAATCTAATTAGAAAAACATCTATTCCAAACTCTAGTGTTTGTTATTGTTAGCCGCCTGGGTTTGATAATTCCCTATATATATATATATATATATATATATATTCACCCCTGACTCAGTACACGGCCTTCCACTTATCCATCATGATCACTGGGATCAGAACGATTTCTAATTTCTTTCTACGAGTCGACACAAACTACCAGAACATCCAGAGCGCTGTAGATTCCACGACGCTGGACTGTCTGATCCAGAAAGCAGAGGCTTTCTTTTGCCCCGCATCCATCCAAGAATGTGGTTTATAAATGACGAAAACAACGTCCCTGATTTGAACTGAAGTGAGCAGAGATTGTGGGTGAGCTTAATCGGCTGTACCTGAGAGGCCAATCTCTAGGGCGTAGTCAATGTGATCCACACACAGATGGTCGACCAGCAGCAGGAAGATGGAGAAGGCATTCTTGGGCAGGTCTGAAGGATCTGAAAGCTACGCACCAATAAACCGAAACAAAGGGAACACCTTTAGCCATTTCGCCTGGCAGGGTTTTTACTCTTCATACTGCCGTCAGCGAAAGAAAACCCTCACCCTGTTGCATCTCTCAAAGGCATGACGCGTCTCCTGCAGCAGGTTGACAACTAGCTCAGGAGACAGAAAGGTCTCCCCATGGGTGTCAATCATAGGGCCGAGAGGGAGGTTGGTGCGCTGTCTGATCCGCTCCTTCAGTTCTTGGATACTGTAGAAAGACACAGAATGGTTGTTTTTTTGTTATTATGTCTTACAATTTCGTAAAATGAATAATGAGTCCTAATCCTGAATGAAACCCAAAGCGCACCTGCCGGTGCCGATTGGGCGCTTCTGGTGATTCTTGGAGTCGTAGTAGCGCTGCAGAATCAAGGCCCCTCGGGTGCGAAGGTATTCCCTCTCGATCTCAATGTAGCTTTCGAGGTATGAGGAGAATATGCTCTTTATCAGCTTAGACAGGAAAGTGTGCTTGTCCGAGCCGAGGTTGAACTCAGTCAGTTTAGTGGCCAATGCGGTGGTCCTGGGGAAGGAGCAGAAATGTGTAGAAATGTAAAAATAACGTCGCCGTGACAACAGAGCGTCAAATCAAAGCCAGAGAGGAAATACCTGGTGTAGAGATCATAGAGGTTCTTAAGGTATTGCTCCACATCAGAGTGTCGTGTTTTGTCCAGTTTTTCTCTGACGTGGCTCTGCAGACACGAGGACGTTAAATATAACAAACGAGTCCAAACATACCATAATAAAAAATAAAAAAAGGAGAAGTAATAGAAATACCTGCAATTTGTTTTCAAAGATGTTCTGAATGAGTTTGGCCATCACAGTCTCTGGGCTGCTGAAGACCTCCCCCACCTGCTTGTTGACCCTCTGGCAGAGGGCCGCAGTGTCCTCGAACACATCGTTCCTCATGTAGGCCCCCTAGAGGGACGTACAAAGGGTAAACCAGCAGTCGGTGGGTATTACTGACAAACAAAAAAGTGGGATATTATGTATAAGCAAAATGTTTTACACTCACTTCCTGACACTGCTTGATGTAGACATCCACACAGTGCGCGTAGCCCTACAACAAAAAGATACAGTTCTTAAAAGTGCAAGTTAGAACAGTACACTGAAGTTAGTAACAAACCACCATCAAAAGACGATGGTCAGACCAAAATTCAAATGATTCTTTGAAGGCACCTTGAAATGTAACAGAACCGCTGCCACCTCCCGCATCCGTCCGATCTCCCCCATGCGCTGGGCAGCTGTGAACTCCTGGATCAACTGCCTCTCCAGGTCATGGTACTTACCTGGGAAATAACGCAAACAAAGACACAAACAGTACTGTCATTTGTAGATCACTTTTTCTCTATTTGTAATGGGGACATGGATGTTTTTTTTTCTCTTTAACGTACTTGCAATTTTTGCCTTGACATCTGCAAATCTGTCAGAGGAAAAGAAAAGAAAATACATCTTCAAGGAAACACTTCCAAATTCTATCTTGTTAATGTATGTTTAATTTGTTGCACACTTTAATAGTTGATGTTTTCAGGAGCTGGGCCCACACTGTGGGGAAAATTGTACATCACTAATACTCCACCTTCCCCTCGTTTCACGATGCTCTGGTCTAAAGCTGCCTCCGGGATGCCTGACTCACCTGTCGAACGGCAGTTCCTGGGCGATGAGATGCAGCTTCTGAATTATATCAGCGGCCTCCTTAATCTGAAGGAGAGACAGAGAGAGCCAGGTGAGGTAAAGAGAGAGAGAGAGAGAGAGCACGACAAGACCATAAAAAGGTGGACATCCAGACAGGCCATCACCGGCGCCGTCTCCACTTGAGGGGGTGGGGGGGGGGAAATCATCATTTTAGAGCTGCCCCTCTCCGCCTCCCCATGTTGAACAGGGAGGTGATAACAGACAGGCTGCGCTCACCTGGGCGTCGGCAGCAGTCCTGACTTAGCAGCACATATCGGCATGCCTTTTCTGAATGGGCTGTAATCCCACAGGAGTCTAAATCGCCTTCAATAATCTGTCCGGCCAGGGATGGCCGTCTTAAAAAAAAAAAAAAAAAAAAAGAAGAAGGGGGCCCTGTTGAGAGCCCCCCCACCTACCTCCCTCCTGATACACACTGGCTGAAAAAGCCCCGGACCTACGAAAGGCCCGCCGTCCGCAACTCCTCTGTTCCTGCAGATGCCTGCCTCAGCTAACATCATTACTCTGCTCCCGTGAGGAGGATCCAGCCTTTCTGCTCGGCGAAGGTTTTCTAAGTATCTGTCCCCCAGCTAAGATTAGCTAAATCCCATGTAAGTAATGTAGCCGTCTCCCTGCAGTCAGGGTTTAGCAGCACTTGTCTCCACGCTGGCGGCCCAGCCCTCCCTTTCAGAAGGATTAGCAAAGCCATCCCCCCCTTCAGCTATTCACTTGCAGCTTTCCTCTTTCCCCCTCGTCTGGAGGTATGCTCAGGGAAAAAAAAAAAGGAATCTGACCAGATATTTCTGCATGCCTCTCTGGAAAACTAGCTCCATCTCCAGCTCTCGTCTCTGGGATTGACCCCCCAAGACTCGACGCTTTGCAGCCGCTAAATAGTGTTGCTAGGAGGAGTTAATCTAAAGCATCCCCATCGTTGTGCGGCCACTTGGAAAACTGCAAAATGTTACTTTAATGTGTTCACTTGTCTAAATCAAAAAGGGTCCCTGTGTGGGCAGGAACTAAGTAAACCTGTGAAAGTCATCTTTCTGCATGCATGTTATCACCGCCCTTACATGCACCACAATGCCACCAGCGCTCTGCTGCTGTAATGCAAAACCAAAGCGGAGGACCAACCAAATTCTCGCTCCCAGACAACCTCCTGTAAATGTAATTAGGGTTGACATGAGCATGTTGACATCCATCCTAGTCAATCATCCAGCCATTGTCAAGACAGCAAATGACAGTTTATTAATCCAAATTAGCCCTGGGATCCAACTAAAGGGATAAACTTGACAAATTAATATGGATGGTTTACCTCATAATCCTTTTCATTCTCACCTCCAGCTGTGTCACAGTGAGGGTCCTCGTCAATGTGCGCGCACACACACACACACACACAAAGTGAAAAGAAGGCGTATGCAGTCACCTTGTCGGGGTTATTGAAGACATCACTGCGTAGGTCTCCATCCAAGAACTCGTTGAAGTAGGTCATTAGACGCTGAGCCTCCACGGCCCGCTGTCGAGGCGTGTTCACCCCCTCCAGCTGGTCGCCAAGGTGGCAAACCTTTGTCGCCACATAGCTTATGTGCTCATCGAGCTCCTGGAAATGTTGAAAGGCCACCTGCATAGACAAAGAGGCATAAATAAAAAAGGCATGTGATGAATGAAAGAACACCATAAATCTGAAGGACATGGAGGTACATGTGATTGGCGGCTTGACCGTGCAACCCACCTGGTTGCTTCTTTGCAAGTCTTGCACTTTGTGGGCAAATTCCTTGGCCTCGCGATGACACTGATGCTCAAGCTTCTCCACTCGCCGCTGGATCTTCTCGTCCAACTGCTTCAGCTCTTCAATGTGGCTCTCGAATTCTTCCAACAGCCTATCACAGAGGAAAGGGAGACGGTCAAGAACATCACACTGGTTTTAACCACATACACTGCAGGTCAAACACTAAAGAGGGTATTACCCTGGAGGAGCTGTTGGGTACCCCAAGGTTAAATCTGCCCCACCGAACACACGGTTGTAGTTCTAGTTAGAGAGCAGCGCCGGAGGCTTTGCGCCCGGGTGCCCAGGCTTAAGAAGCTCTGAAAACTAGCTACTTCGTCAGCTGCATTACAAGTGCCATCAGGACTGTACAGCAAATGTTCTAAGTCAGCACCACATTTCACCCACTAGGAAACATCCCAAAATGATGAGTGTATAATCTCTTGACTAATTCCCTCTGCACTGGCTACAGCTTAAAAGACATCTCCCATCCCTTCCCCATAGACACTCATTCACTGGCTGGTGAGTCACAGTACGGAGGCCCTCCACAGATATGTTGTCTCTGACTCTTTTCTAAGAGCTTCAGAGGAGGTGGTGGCGACCGTTTTGTGGAGGAAGTAGATAAGGCAGGAAGTTAAACTCTTATGGCATTTTTACTTGCAAGTAGTAACTCGGCCCTCAAGTGTAAACACATCAACAAGCAGTGAGTATACTAATGAAACAAAATCTAGATTCCTGTATTTCTCCAAATCAACACAAAAGCATACGAGAGACCGAGATGTTGGCTTCAGTAAGCGCACAAGGTTTCACTCCAAGGGTTTAGCAAGTTGATGCCGGCGGCTGAAAATAAAGAAATCTTAAATTTATTCATGAGAACTTTAAATTGATCACATATAGAATTTTTTTTATGGTATTATGTGTTTTTGTCTCCTGACCCATTGAAATGCTGCCTAAGAAAAAAAAAAAGTCAAATTAAGTGAAAATTTGAATTAAAAAAAAAGGCATGGAATTGGCATCAGAGATGTTCAGCAGTGTTACAACGCTGACGCTGAAGTTCTAAACAAAAGCTTTTAAAACCAGAAAGAAAGTAAGCAACTTTAAGAAATTTGAGGATGAAAATAAAAAAGGAAATCTGTCCATTTCTGTTGGTGTTTAATGTGGACACTAAAACATGTTGTGCACCAACAGTACCTTTTGGGGTCGAATGCCTCGGCCCCTCCTTTGGAGCCTCCCCCAGGTGTCCTCCATGCCAACCTTTCGATGTACTCATCTGCATCAAAGGGCTCCTGAAGGGGCAGAGAAGCCAGTGAGTGCACCGATTGTTTTCCCTCACACCGTAATAAAAATCATCAAAACACCCGAAACGATGGAAGGACACTGCATCTTAAAGTTACACGAATAACTTGCACAGGTTTTACAGCATCCGTCTTCTTCCACTGCACACGAACTGTCAACCACATTGACGCTATATTCCTCACTCTTGTCTACATTTAATAAGAGCGATGTGGGACGTCGTTAATCCTCTTTTTTGCACTCGGGAAAAACGAGTCGTTACGGGTTTTAACCGTGAATGATAGTTAGCAACATAACGTCAGCTAGCCTGGCAGCTAACGCAGCTTTCCGGTGCAGCAGTCATCTTTACCTCGAACAGCTGAGGTGTTGTCGCCATGTTCCGGATCCAACTTGCACCGCGGGGGGAATTCAATTCAGAGGGAGGCTCTCGGAGTCCGCGATACTGCCGAATTCCACATGGATTTACCGATTTCGTACAGTTTCGCCCTTTGGTGACAGCTAGCGCTAGCGGAGTTAGCAGTGCAGCTTCCTGTATGGGTGGAGAAGGGTGGAAATAAATGCCGGCTAGTGCGCAAGCGCGGATGTCGCGTGATTGGCGGTTGTTGTCACGTGAGACAGGAGCAGGAAGTAAAAAATGCTGCGCTGATCAAATTCATACGGAATATTTGAATTTAACAACCGTAACCAGAGGATGCGAATTTTAACGCCAGGGTCGCCGAACAGCCTGTAAAGAGACGACAGGAGTGCAGCCAGACAAATGAGTGTGCGCGCTTTGTGGATTATTTCTCACGAGAAGGGAGAACATGTATCAATGCGCTTTACAAGGTACCGTCACGTGAGGGGCAATCTGTGTCGTAATCCTGTTTACAATTGTGTGTTTGGGCAGTTTAGTCACTCGCATACAGTATTTCGTATTCTAAAGTCTCCCCCCCCGCCCCCCCCCCCCCACACACAGGAGGTTTGCTACTGTTGAGCACCGTGCGAAGAGCCTCGCAGGTTCCTCTTACGTAGCAGTCCCAGAAGACTACAGTGTGCTGCAGCTGCTGCTCGCCGAGCTCGGGCTTTCAGACTCGGACAAGTGCTACGTGGCCCTCCGCGATGATTGCCTACATCGTCAGCGATCACCAGCCGTGGAGCTGTGCGTGGACGGTCCTGGAAAGGGAATACTTTGGCCAGTGTTGGCAATCTCCCAGGGGCCTCTTACCCTAGCGTGCCTGCCCATAGTGGATGCCCCCGCTGAGCCACGGCCTCCCCTTGCCAGCCTGCTGTCGGTCTCCCAGGGCCTAACGCTCTTGGCAGGTCTGCAGACTTTTCTCCTTGGCTCTGGGGGGAAGCCTGATAACGAGGGGCTGGCCTCTCGCCTGGCCATGCTTCCATCTTTGCTCTTGCAGGTTTGTCCACTTGGCACGCCGCTGGATGTGCCGATTTCGGGGGCACCTGCCACATCCGCGGTGCCCACTCCCGCTGGGAGCCAGAAGCAGCCGTTCTGGAAGACGGGGCTCCACCGCGGCCGGGCGGTGGTGAACGTGGCGCTCAAAGAAACGGTGCGCTCCATGCAGTATGGTAAGCGGAGCAGACAGGACCTGTGGGATGTTTACGGCACCGTGACATGCAAAGTAAGAGCCGGGTGGAAAGGAAAGCAAACAATGCCCTCGTTTATTTTTGCATTTTTCATTCTTTTCCTCCATGCTACTCCTTTTTTTTGTTTTTGTCTTTCTGATGACAGTGTGAAGTGGAAGGTGTACTCCCAAATGTGACGGTGACCCTCACGCTGCCACCAAATGGTTCTCCACTTCAGGACATCCTGGTCCATCCTTGTGTGACCTCACTGGATTCTTCTATCCTGACTGCCAGCAGTGTGGATAACTGTGACGGCTCAGCTTTCTCTGGGCCCTACAAGTTCCCCTTTTCTCCTCCTCTGGAGCCCTTCAGGCTGTGCAGCTATACATCTCCGGTATTAAACACACATGCAAACCATGTTTGTCCTCTGACAGGTTAGTTTTAATAAGTGAATTCTACGATATTTTTGTCAGGTACCTGTTCCCCCGATCCTCGGCTCCTATCAACTGAGGGAGGAAGGGAACCAGCTTTGTGTGTCCGTAACCCTCAAACTTCACGAGAGTGTGAAGAACTGTTTTGAGTACTGTGAGGCGCACATGCCGTTCTTTAACAGGTACGTAGCAAAAGACGATGTCATTTGTCTTACCCGCCAGCGCTTGTTTCCTGTTTACATTTTTTTTTTGATCAATGCCATCTTTTGGTTAAGTTAAATGATCCTATGATAAATTCACGTTCTGTCTAGACAACAGTCGGTTTTAATGCCTGAGAATTATACATTCACTAATGTATGATTTGGATACTTTTCAAATCTAATTAAAAGTTGGTAAAACACCTGTTTTCACTACTAATGCACACATTTACTAGCTACACAGATGAGTAATGTAAAGATAATCCCAGCTGGCAAAATAAACCATCATTGAGAGAATTGCTTTTTGAGAAAAAATGCTATAAACATCCAAAACCGCACTTATCACATGAGTGACATATTACTAATTCTAGCTATTGCTGAGAAGTTTTTCGTTTCAATACTTTAAAATGTTTTATGGTGTCTAATGTGGGAAACACATGATGCTTATTTACACTGCACATTTTCTTCTGCCAAACCCCGTATTGGTTTCATTAAATGTGTCACCTTAGCTGAATCAATGAGTCATCCAACTGATAAAAATACTCTTCTCACACAATTTTCAGAAAGGTGCCACTAGCAATCTGTACAACTGATATTTTACTATTAGACCAGTCGGTTGTCTTTCACAAAACATTTCCAGTTTTCCTCGTAGAGCTGAGAAGATAATACCGGTTTTCTTAAGTCATTGAACCCCACCTCTTTAATCAAACATCTGCGTCTTGTGCAGGGACCAGATGGGTGTTGTGGAAGTGAAGGTGAGCTCTGGACAAATGGACGTTTCAAAGGAGAAGAACCTCGTGGTCTGGGGCCTGGGTAGGCACTGTGCTGCTGAGCAGCAACTTGAATACAAAATATCACTTTAATGCAGCTGTATCACTTGAAGTTGATTCCAATGAGTAGTTTTCCTCTCTCACTGATATTCAGGACAAAAGTTCCCTAAATCTCGTGAGGTCTCAATGGAGGGCAAGATCAGCTTTCCCGGGCCGACACCGGGACCCACTGATCCTATTTGCACAGAACTTACAGCCTATATCAAAGTAAGTTAATAGAAGTGTTGCCGTTTAGAAGCTCCGTTGAAAGATCTGTGATTCATGTGATTTCTTTCATCTAGTTTGTTAATTCACACCTACACCAAGTAGCTAATGAGATGCGGTAAAAAGTGATTTACACTCTTGTTATCTTCACAGTTGTATTTCAAAGTGCCCGACATGACGCTCTCTGGGTGCTGTGTTGACCAGCACTCAGTGCAGGTGTATTCCTCTGCCAAGCCACGGATCATCACATGTAAGCGCACAATAGTTTCATGACCAACGTATTTGCTTATGTCCATTTTTCTGAGACTTTAAAACAAGACGGATGCTTTTTTTTTTTTTTTTTTTCAGCCAGAGAACTTCAATCCAAAGAGTACTTCATATGGAATTCCAGTGGAACTGCTCCGGTGTCCTCTGGGCAGATGATGCTGTAGCACGGACACGTTAAGAGGGAAGGTGCTCGCGTCACTGCGACGTAACAAGACTGAAAACTGTTGAGCAAATACTTTACAGTGATCCAGATCACCAATCCCCGGAAACGTGTTACCGGTAACATTTAGATAACAGTCAATGGTCAGCAGATAATATTAAAATCATCTCGTCATTTTGCATTGACTGGCAGAAGTATTCATTTTGTTGATTGAGCGATACTTTGAAAAACACAACAACCTGTTCCTAGAGTCCCAACTTTTATCCCACAACATTCACCCTCCCTCTGATTTATCCCACTGCAGACACAAGGGCCACCCCTCGCTCCGACAGTCCCACTTCACTGACTCTCTATCAGCCGGATAATTAGCAGCTGGGGTCTTGTCATCAGCTGTTGTGGGGCCCGGACGAGAGGGGCGGCGGGGCTGTGAAAGGCCTGTCTGCTCTGGCCAGTGTCTTGGCTACAAAAGACTCCTCTTTTGGAGCTGGCAGGAGTCCTTGTCCCCCCCCCCCCCTCTTTTTGACCCCATCCCCGCCCTGTCAACTAGTGGCTGGTTCAAACACTCAACCTCTCCAGCCAGACTGTGATTGAGCGCTGACCTTCTGGCCCTCTGAGACTTAAAAGCAGCCGGCCCCATTCAGAGAGAAGGACCGGCCTAATTGGTGAAAAGGTCACAGGAATGGAAAATGGAAATGATTGGGTCACCTCTGGGCTGCGTTAACGCTTATTAATTAATGTAGAACCTGAGGTATTTTATTTGGATCCATATTGCATTAAAGATGGTAGTTAAGTAAGGGCACGTAGTTCAAGATGTTTCTCACTCTTCACATTAACAATGATGGATTCCGTAAAGCTCGATTTACATTTCCCCCATGAAAGCTCCACCTCCACTGCGTTAAGGTAAATAAATATCTGGCCGATGAAGGGTTAAATCAAAGACTATTCCACAGCAGCCAGACTCCTCTGAGTGGCCTCATTGTCCGCCGTTGGCCTCTTGTGCCCCTCGCTGCTCCAAATGCTACATTCTCACGTGGATTTCCACTCAGAAGGCCGACCATGACCAATCCTCTGTCAATTGGAACCAATTGCTCACACGGCATCCTTCACCTTCTTTTTATGTAGCGGCACGGAGTGGCAGACACCGAGACCTCCCGGCTCCCCCCCCACCCCGCACCATGATTTGGCTTTAACGCCCAGTGTGTTTGGCTAGCGAACTGGAAAAGGAGACAGGGTTTTTTTTTTTAAATGTTTTTTTTGAAGAGTTTGGCCGCTCTAAATCTCCTCAGTTTCCCAATATGTGGTCAGTCTGGCTCCTCCAGTCTGCAGTCAGTGGGCTGACTTTGCTTTGTTGGTTGAATGGCTCGCTAAGTAGACGCACTCGTTTTAATGTGTTCTTCTGCTCCAGTGCCTTCAGCTCTTGCCTCTTGGGGTCTTTTGTTTGTGCCTTTTTTGTTTACTTCGTCCTTGTTTACTCTTGTATACACAGTGACAACAAAGGGACACTTTCGAACAATAACGATAATTTGTCAGGGTGAAGTAACTGTGTGGATGGTTAAAAAATACATGTACATGTTAATACCTCACAACGTTGCATAGCCTGAAATACGCAAAATTACCTTCTTATTCCAAAATATTACTTTTATTACTGTTATTCACTTAAGTGTGTGACTTTACTTCTGTGTCCTTTGACCCAATAATGACACCCAGTGGTAGAATGCAATAAAGTTACATTTAAACCGTTCTTTTACACACTTAAATGCTAATTTCATCTACCAGCACTACCAGATAATCTTCATGTTTAATTCCCCCATGTCCCAGCAATGAGCTCACTGTGCCTGAGGACCAGGCTTCAGTTGGCCATTGTGTCCCCAGGTGTTGGTTTGGAGTCCAGTCCTCCGTATCTGCAACCCCTTTAAAAGACGGCCCCGGGTCGAGCGCTTGCAGTGCAATTATCTGTTTTCCGACTAATTATTGTTCGACAGCTACATCTTCACACATAATGGGATGTCGTCATACTGAGGGATTCTTTTGTTTTCATTTCTATAGCAAATGCCTACTAATAAGGCTGAAGCTTCAAAGCTGGCTGATATGAATCACAACTCTTTGAACTACATTTCTAGTGTGTTTTTTTTTTTAATGTTTGCTATCAATAATGTAGTGAGGCTAAATGAGCTTCAGACTCACTGGCTCCACAGCAAGTGTTCTTACTGCTTCTACCCATAGAGGGCATCATACACTCAGACATGGAAGCATCCACATCAAGAGGTTTATTCATATTGCAAGACGGTTCACTCATTGTTCATATTTTAGCTTATTCTCCCTGATCCCTTTAACACATTTTAATATTTTAATAACGCTGTCTGACAGCCGCTCAGACCGGCACCAAAACCAAGTGTACCCCGGTCTTCTTTTCTCACTACTTCCCTTTCAGTTGTCCCTGTCAAGTGTTTTGTCTGAAGACCGTCTTTCCTCTCTTGTTTCTTGAAGACCTTGATCTGATCCCCACAACACTCGTGCTGTTTGCTCGGCTGGTTGGACCGTCTCTGTTCAAAGGGTTGAGGCAGAACTTTTGGGGTCCAAACTTTCTCCCTTGGTGTTGTCCCAGAAGATGTCCCTCGTGTGGGTCTCCGCCTCTGGTGGTCTTCAGTATTTGTGCGCGACAGGGTAAACCACCAACTGAGAAGATCACTTTATGTCTTTGCTCTATGGCACGTCGGTTGATTCAGGGCCTCCAGGAGTCCTCCCTGGAAACGCCACAGTCAAGGAATAAAGTTTAAATTTCTTACTAATTAAATGTTTCCATAACATGCTACTTTTTACTCATTACATTCCAAATGGGGATATGTAATTAATTGTCTACTATTGTTTTTACTCTCCCAAATCATGTAGTTACTCTTTATTCTTCATAATTAGAATTTACATTAAAAGAATCACAAGCTTATAAAATATAATGCATTGTTACTTAAACTTTGGGGCTTTTTTTCCCCCTTGAAAAATGTTGAGTGCAATGAAGTTTCGGAGGTCCATTGTTGGTTAGCAGTCCCACATAAGCGAATCTATATGATACCTATGAACTTTTACTTTGATAGGATTTTGAAAGTAGGACAAAAAAATAAAGGTACTTTATTTTTGATAAGATTCTGACTGCTTATTCTACCACTCCAAGAAACGTGCATATTCACACACCGTGTTTTCTTTCCCTCCCTGCACCCTGAGAATAGATCCCATTGTGGGCCAGTCATGGCTGTAGACCCCCCCCTACTTTCCACTCCACCAACACTGTAATCACATCCACTGGGACTGCAGGAGCTCACACTCCCGCCTCACAGCTGTCTCTCTCTTCTCCCTCCTTTCTCTCCCGCGCAGAGCGGCCACGCACCTTCATTTTGCCTCAATATGAAAAGGCTTGATCTGAATTATTCATGTCGCAGATGCACTTCAAGTCTCTACCTGAATCGTTCTTTCCGAGCAAGAGTCTCCTGTCTGGACGATAGTAGAAAACAGGTGGACACCCCCACCTCTGCAATCCCTGCCCTACAAAAAACAACAAATTCCTTATTTGTTTTTTTGTTTTATTGGCGGCGCTTGTGTGAAAGGCCAATGGTTATATTGAGATATTGACACGTCTGGGTGAACATCACAACCAGTCAATAACGCAGAGTTAAGTCTGCAGGAGTCCCAACACTGGATGGAACACGTTAGAAACTTTTCGTATGAATCAGGCAACACAAATAGTCTGCAGTTAACAAAACGAGATGATGCTTGAATTGTTACTTTGCTGTGGCGGGATATTTTTTGCAAAGACCGGTTCTTCTACGCACATGTTGTGTAGTGCCAGAATCCCTATGACCGCAGAGAATGATCTGCAAGGAATAATGAGCCCTGAATGTACACGTTAGCCCAGAGACGTACTAACCGGAGGGGGTGGAAATGGTCATGTCTTGTCTCTGTGGCGGTAACGTCGTCTTCCTCTGTCCCAAAAGTCCTGCTGGCTGCTCCGGCGTGACGGGCAGAGCGGGGAGCGTCCATCGCGGTTCGGCTTGGGGCTCGTCGTCTTGCCGGCTGTTGCTTGGAGCTACTCTACGCAGCCTCGGCCTGGAGGACGTCGAGCCCATTGTCTCACGCCGTCCCCCAATGCTGTCCAACACTAGATTCAAGTTAGTTCATCTTTCTTCAAGTTTACTGTTAATTTACATTTACTAATCCCACCTTTTTTAGTGTCTTCTGTCTTTGTAGGTCTGCTGGTCTTATTGACTTTTCCCACAGAGTGCTGGATTCTCTTCGCATTCCGGCCTTCCCCATTAAAAACGTTCCATTACAGAAAGACTCGATGTTTGAAATCGATTCTCCAGGTGGACCTATTTCTTCCAGCTGCTTCCAAACAAACCTGGAGGTCTTCCCATCTCCTCTGCTTGAGAGCTCAATGTTTGTCCTGTAGCATTTACGTCTGGTGCCAAAGTGTAAAAAACACTTTGGGTTTTGATTTTTTTTAAAAGAAGAAAGTAGGTGGGCACTTCATCTCTGCCATCATACTTTCCATCATTGTAATGACATAAGTTACCATGACAACACTCCCTACAGATTGCTTTCTAACTCAGAAGTTAATGCTTGAAAGAACCTGTTATTTCCCTGAAAAGCCCAGGGGGGCGAGAAGAGACAGTTTGTTTGGGGAAATTGTTAACTGAGAGAAAAAGGTGACTTCATGAGTACTCAGTAAATCATGAGGGGGGGTGGGCTCCCCCCATCATTTGTTTTTTATTTAAGGCTAATTCGCAAATCGCCAAAATAAAATGACTCCTGTCTAAAATCAGCTTTACAGATGAAGAGGGCAGAGTGACACGTGACTAACCAGCTTCAAATATGCATTCAGTAAAAAGCGTAAAAGTAAAAACTTCTTAAAACCCACAATAAACCCCAGGAATGGATTTGATGGAAATTCTCCAAAATAAAATAAAACTCTATGATAAAAATGTTTTCGATGTACACATCTTATTTTAATCTGTACATTCTTGTCAAGCATTTGTTTGTTAATTATCGCTTCTGTGCCTTATAATACAACCAACTACTCGTTAGCAGTTTAAATAGCGAGGCCAAAAGCTAAACGTAAAACCCATTAAAGGCAGTTTCCCTTCTTGCCAAAGAGCGATTTACATCTCAAAATGAGTTAATTACACTCATATTATACCATTAAACGGACAATACTATGTATATCCTATGTACTATATATACTATACCATGCGAATCCAATTGAAAAAAAAGCTATCCGTTTAAAAAACATAATTGACAATAAATTATTTCCTTTCATCGTTTATTGACTTTGGTGGAAATTAAATGGAAAAAATATAACGTCTATGACTTTGCATGTATATAAAATAATATATAGAACGTCTAAGGATCCAATATGGCCTTGAATAGTGTGTGTTTGTTCGGGGGAAGTGTAGGGGGGGGGTGCATGTCCCTTGTGACACCCTGGCAAATAACGCCGCGGCTTATCAGCCTCCAACAGACCTTCCGTATCACAAAATTATGATTTGAACATTACACATCCCTCTGGTTCTTTCTACAGTGGCTTGTTTATTTTCATATGATAAAATGGCGCTGCAGTTATTTAGCCGAAAGTGTCACCTCAGCAAACGCTTCATCAGAGGCTTTGACTCCACACTCCAGCGACCATAACGCCGCGGCACTTTGTGTGACAAAGGTTACTCTGAAATACTGAGAAACGATTCTCCTGACACTCCTGATCACTATTGGAACTGAAATGTAAACGCCAACATGTTGTGAGGCACTAGGAGGTTGTTTTGTCAAGTCTCTACCACGATTTACAGTTAAAACACCTTTACATCGCTAGGCTGCGCAATATCACCACAGAGTGTGTGAATGTGTGAAAGGGGATAAATAATGGTTGAACACATCATTCTCAATCTTACAGTGCATGGGTGCGTATATGTGTCAGCTAAGTGCAGCACAGAAAAGCGTTGCATAATTTATTATGGTGAGAAGTCATCGCTGCTGAATCAATGCAACGCACTTAACAGATTACTGATTTAGTGTGAACCTCTGGTGAAGATGGTTGAAATAATTGCTTGCATACTTATAAGAACAACATGATTATTACAAAAGTATTATCGATAAAAGTAGAAAAGTCCATCAACATTGTATGAGGCCTTGTCAGTGATGATTTAGGGAACAGAAAAATAACTTGGTCTTTAGGTAAACAAGTTATACACGGATAATATGAGTTTTAAGTCTTTTATTACAAAACCAAAGGAGCCTGTACATCACGCATAATATAATTGCCATTCTTTAATATAATGCTAATCAATGACTTAATAATACTCTTATCGGTACAACTCTAAGGCAAATATCATAAATACATACTAGATTGAGCCAAATTGGCCCTGCCACTATTTATATTCACAGAATACAGTCCACAGGTCAGGGGAGGCCGGTCGGCTGTTGCTTTGGGTACGTGCGAGGAACAGGACTGAGCGCGGCAAATATTACAAGAAAGTAAATAACACTTTCAAATAGCAAACTCCGTGAATGCTTTCCTTTCGCCCTCGCGCAGTGAAGTGTGCTGGGACAGAGACGCATCTCCAGAGAGGGTCCATGAGGAGCGATCGTCCTGCCACCCAATGCAGGAGCGTGAGCCGACGGGGCTTTAAGAACGCTGCCACAGCTCAGCCGGGCTCACGCCAGGGGAATGGAGACGGTGCCGTTGGCCCGGCTGCGGCTCCGAGTGTTGACGCTGGACTCCGTCAGCTCCTCGCCGTGCTCCTCGGGCTTCTTGTCTGCGATGGAGGCCAGGAAGCGCAGGGTGGCCGAGTCCCACTCCTCCGGGAGCAGCAGGAGCAGGAAGCCCAGGCAGATGATGCAGGTGGCCGCCAGGCGCACGACACTGAAGATCACCTCGTGTTTCAAAACGTCCACAGCTACGGCATGTGGAGGGGAAGAGAGGGAGGGGGGGGGGGGGGGAGAGAAACAAAAACAATCTGAGATTAATTACATAATGGAAGATAAACCCAAGGAGGCCGCGGCTGCAGCGGATGAGCGTAGCAAAACCGGCTTCCAATCAGCACAAGCAATCCACTTTATCCTCAATGTCTCTGCGGTGCGGAGGCCCCGGGACGCGTTGCCGTACGCCCACTGACCTTCGTGCGGTCCATCGTGGCTAAAGGAAAGAACTCGTCTGCAGGCATTCAGTGTCGCCTTTGCAACCGGATCCTCCCTCGGCGAGAGTGTAGCTGCTGGGTTCCGTCGGAGCGCATCGGCGGTTGGGTTTCCAGGACGAGAGAGAGAGAGACCGACTTTGCTGTGTAATCCGTTTGCTACGGAGGCCCAGAGTGCTGACCCGCTCCGCGCGAAACCGCAGTATTTGGTGCCGTTTACTCAGATTTGTACGATCACAGTCATTTTCCGCCGTAACACGCAAGAAGTAAACAGTGAATTGGAGAACTTGAGCCCCTGTTGAGAAACCGTACCTGCATTTCCCGGGACGCTGAGCAGTGTGCCTATGGAGATGAGAATGGGGTACGTCAGCACCACGCCAACGTGGACCAAGATGTTGAACACTGTGGAAGGCACCGAGGAGGGTCAAGTCATTGGAGTGCAATTGAACACATATTTGAATATTTAATATACGGGCTACCGATTGAAGGTACATTTCAGAGTTTATTTATTTAGTTTTTTTAGTCGAGAGTCCGCATTCTTTTTGAACATGCACAGAGAACCTATTCTAAGGCACCTTCGAATTGAGACAATTGGTTGAATAATGAATTCATAATTAAGAATATCTCTTAGCTGCAACCCCAAAGTGAACTAAAATGATCTCACAGAAACAGACTCTTCTCCCTACATGAGCGTTGATGCATCCTCACCCAGCCACAGTCCTGCCAGTCCACACAGGTACCCCCAGGGTAGCGAGGACAGGGAGCCCCAGTGCTCCACTTTGGTGAAGTAGAGGATGAGGGGCACACAGGAGATGAAGATGAGATTGAAGAAGCCCATGGTGGAAAGGAAGTGAGCCACTTCTCCGATGTTGGCACTGCCCAGGAACATCTTGAACAGCACCTGGATGAGGAGGAGACAACTTTTCATTTTGGACTCGGTGCAAAGGCAGCCTCGCAAGTTATCCGAGCCGTGATCAGGTCGGACCTTGTAGAGAGCTGATGTGCTGGCGGACCCCACAGCCAATGCCACGCCCACAAAGGAGTCCCCATGGAAACCGTCCGCGTACGCCATCATCACGATACCTGTGATGGCCATGATGGCCGCCACAATCTGCAGATGGAGATTCAGAGCCATCAGTGGCGTTGATACTCTGCAGATGTGAGACAAACAATCCTTTACATGACATCAATCCTCGTTGGGTCTTTTTCATACGGACCCGAACACCCATGAAACGGTCCTTCAGAACGATCCAGGACAGGAGAAAGACGAAAGCCTTGTGGCAGCAGTACAGGGCGGAGACATCGGTGGCGGTGAGTTTTTTCAAGGCCATGAGGTACAGGTAGTTGGTCAGTGTCCACAGGATGGAGAAGGGGGCAGTTCTCTTTACGAAAAGCTTGAGAGTCATCCCGTCTTCCCCAAAGAGCCTGCTGCACTCCCTGGTTAAGAGAACAAACATGGAGGTGTAAAAAAGGGAGTGTGTCAGCGTTTTCCCCTCTTGGATCAGCGTTTATTTTCATTGCTATCATGAGGGAAATGTTGGTCGTTTGGTTTCCTGTTGGACCGTCAGATGGCCTAAAATGTGTTTCAGGTGAGTGTAAAAGACCTCTAGGAGTCCACTATTAGAGCTTGAATGGTAAACTAGTAACTAGTTTGCTATTCTACAGTTAACAGTGGGATTATTCCTTCATTTTGCTAAACATTATTATTATTATTATTATTTGTGACTGATCTATGTGAGCAGATTCCACATGTTTGCTGAATTGAAGCATCTTTTTTTTTTTTTTTTTGCAGTTTACCTGAATTTCTGTATGGGCGTCTGCTTCTCACGTGTGGTAACCACAAGTCCGGAGTAATAGATGGGAAAGAAGAAGATGTTCCAGTTGCTGCTGAACCAGGAGATGAAGAAGGGACAGGAGAAAGACTGGAAGGTCAGTTTAACCACCTGAGTGGTACCCACCCAGGAGGAGGAGACACACAGCACCAGCAGAAGACCACCCAGCACCTTCACAGCCGTGTTGGTACATGTTTGATAGGACCGGCTCTCATCGCTGGTCTCGCTGCCTGGTGTCTCTGCGTTGGACTCTGAACCATCCTCTCCTGGTGGGAGACAATAGGGGAAAAGAGAACAACACAAAATGCATTGCAGCATCTTTATTTCCGGCGTTTAGCATCCAATTCCAAGCCCAATACTGCTGTGGATGTGCATACATACAGCCCCAAAACCGTGTACCTAAATCATCTATATTGGCCTAAGACTGTATACTCTTTGTATTCCTGTACATGCAGGATGTAGCTTGTGTTGCCCTGGCTGAGCTCCAGCACATAAGCATCTATTGATCAGATGCCCCAGTGATCACTATCACGGTTTGCATGTCTTGCTGTAAAGGTGCTGATGCGTAAGGCCAAGCTTTGTTAAGAATGTGTGGGGTTAGCATTGAGGCTGTGCATGTCATAAATAGCTTTGACTCCTCGCGATGCAGCGCATAGTGTAGGCCACGCATTGTGCTCAGGTGTGCCCAGAAACCTGATACCCAGAAAGCGCGAGTAAACTGAACCACATGACATTCCACAAGAAAGTCAGGTCAACCTTGGCAGCCACTGTTTGGGCTCTGACTACATTCCTGCTGTGGAAATGTTGCCGTTGGGACATATTGGGACACGGAGTAACTGGGGACGCGGTACAGTCTCACCGGACAAATAACACTAAACTACGTAAACGTAGATTATTTTAATGGCTTATTTTTATACCTAATTTCATGGACCTTAATGGACCGCGGAACTTAACGGCCTCCTCAGCGGTGCTGCATGATATGCAAAGTGCTGCGGGTGGGAGCATTTCCGGAGGGGAGCGCCGATCCGTTCTTTAACTTTCGACAGAGTGATCAATTTTCACCGGGCAAGGAATAAAAGGTGACATGTGCTTGATGTTTGCTGCCTGTGCTCTCTTTGCTAGCTCAGCATGTGAAGGTCTGCCGTTTCCACCGTGGTCATAGACACTAAAGCCCTGCAAGCCCTGGATCTTGTACCCCTAGTATGTCCCCCTCACGGTAGGCGGGCATCTCGGGGACGCTCAATGTTGCTGCTGATGAGATTCTATCAAGCAATGAGGCTTCTAGTTTAATTAAAGTGGATTGCACCCATGTGTAATTACTTCTTCTTTTTATCCAGCAAAAAACTGTATGTATGTGGATCCAAAATGCTTTCCTCAAGTAACTAATGATAAGAACGTTGGTATCAGGGTTTTTTTGTCTGTGTAAAGCACAGAGTGCTAAGATGACACCTTGTTTCATCCAGTCTGCTTGTCCACCCTGAAACTAAACCGCTTTAGTTTAGTTTTCTGAAGTCATTTCATTCATTCACAAAACAGTCTTACCAAACTAAGTAAATAATCTTAATGAATGAATGAGATCATTCCTGGTTCCCAGTATCCCTGAGTATTAAAGCTTTGAGAATGAAAGAATTGTGAATATAAAGTCACAGATATGAGTCGTGAAGTGGTGGAAGCAGTAGTCAGATCTTTCATTTAAGAAAAAATAGCCGTCACTATAATGTAAAATGCCTCATGCATTTAACATAATAGCCTGTCTTATAGAAAGTACAACGTGGAAGGAATTGAGTAGAAGTGTAAATTAGCATTTAATAACAATGAAACCCTTGGTATCCCCGAGGTGTAAAACTAATGACGACTCCCACGAGGACTATCACATTATCACATGTTTCACCTCTAAGTATATTCCAGCTGAAATCAAAATCTACGTTATTTGGTGCAAGCAAAATGTTCAAACCCGTTATCTTCTAAAGGGATCATCTTGGGACTTGGTCTACTTACACTCGGCCACAGCAAGGATTCTTAATCAACTTAACGCGCCTGGTGGTTGCTAACTGGAAAACAGATCTGATATTTCTGCAAGAGAGAAGCAGCTTTTTTCATTTTATTTTCTTTTGCTCCTCTTCCGCCAAGCAAGATGGTTCTTGTTTCAGTGCAGTGAGACTAAAGCTTTTAGTGTTTTATAGGCGCTCTTCTGTCCTGAGGTGAGGCTGATCTGCTGCCAACAATGCAGTAATATTGTAACTCTATTATTCTCCTGCCTCATAAAAACAGCTCTCGGGGCTAAAATTGAGTTTGAGTTATTGCTGACAAATATTGCTCTAAAATGTGAAAAATGTAACAATTCAGCAACGTGCTGCAGTGAAATACAAACTGCTATTTGAGGTTAATTTCAAAGAAAGTGTAGTACATTTAAGTATACGATTTAAGATATTTTACCCCTCTAATCAAACAAGCACAGACAGAATGCAAATTCAATGCAATTGATCATTACTACTATTATTAACTCTTGAGAAGAGTGAAAAAAAAGTACATTTTCATTCATGAAATAGCTGACAAGAACAACTTTATGCCTTTTTCATTACAGCAATCGCAGCGCAGTGCTACCGGCACCCATCAAAAGAGCTCCTCTCTTCTGTGTGACGCAGCATGCTGCTCGAACCTCACATTTCAATCCATTCTGCCACTTATTCCCCCCCCCCACTGCATGCCAGGGACATTGATGGACGGACTCGTGCCGATTCCAGAGGTGAGCTCACCGTCACGTCTGCAGCGTCATGCAGGCTCACAGTGGGTCAAACTGTGGGTCTGTCTGTCTTTGGTCGACGAAAGGATTTAAGTTGAAGGGAATGCTCAGTTAGATGGAGGAAGGACAGATTCAGTAACAGATGTCAAACCAGCTGACTTGGGCCTGTTTGGTTTTATCGGTTTACGGGCAGCTGAACACAGACGCTGCTGCTACTTCCTGTCGACACGTCGGGCCTCCCAACTCTCCCTGCAAACTGAATTCACACAAATGTGTTCTTTAAACCGTCTGGAGTTTAAGACGCATCGTGTGGTTCAGCAGCTGGTTGTTTGATATCACGTTTTCGGAGTGAATGCTGCACGCCGCCGACTGAAGTAGAAGAAGAGCACGTTCACGTCGCGCTCTCTGTCTTTCGCATGAACAGCTAAACACTCAACATGACATTTCAGCACACAGGGTTCCTTATTGGAAATCATACGTCGTCAACTGTAAACCGCCAAAAAGTCAAGAAAACCCGTAACTAACTACTCCCATCAGAGCTGACAATGTGACTAACTCGGGTCCTGCTAACACAGAGCCCACACATGTTTACCTTCAGAGATGGGGCAGGTAAGGAACTGACTGCTGTACGAGCTGAGAGGAGCCACTCGGGCTGAGTGCTTTCTTCATCCTCCACCGGGGGCCCAATGCACTGTCCTTTCTTGGCGGCTGTGTGTGTGTGTGTGTGTGTGTGAGTGTGTGTGTGTGAGCAAGTGCACGCTCAGCAGCTCCTGCTGCAAGCTCCGTGCATCCTTTAGACTCTCCAACTCCTCCGTTTCGTCTTCACGCTGTTGATCGCCTCCCCCCACCCCCCATCTCCTCCTCCTCCTCCTCCTCCTCCTCCTCTTCCTCCCAGATGTCTGTCAAAGTCTTCTGTCTTCGTCCCGGCACTCGGGTCCCGCCTCTCTGTCACTCTCTCACTGCTTCTGATACTCTGGCTCCCGGTCTGGATGTTCACGCAGGCCGGATTAGAGGGCTCGCTGGAGGTGCAGTGTCACGCCGGGATGCAACGTCTCCAACTGTCTCCAAGGGAGACTGAGCTTTAAGTGTCTGTGGCGAGAGGCGCAATCACTCCGCTCCGATGTCTTTCCATCCTCCTCCTCCCCCCTCCGGTCCGTCTCGCTCGCTTCTCCCCTCCTCTTCTTCTGCTCTGCAAATCAGCAGCTTTGTTTGGGAGGTAACTAAGCAGCAGCGGGATAATTATGCTGCGTTAGTTGCTGTCCCCCGTCTCTTCTCCCACCTCCTCCCCGCCCGTCCCCTATTCACCCAACCAGGCTCTTTTTCATCCTCCCCTGTCCCCTGTCTTTCAATGTCCCCGTCTCTTCGTTGCACATCCTTGCTCTTCACTACTCCAAGAGGGTCAGTTTAATTCATTAGTTGAGCCATGTAAAATACAACCATCACATACATGTGAGTATGCTCACATGTATGTGAACCATCACATACACGTGAGTATGCTGAGTTACAGGAGCCTCTGCCCACACGCTACTCAAATCAATGTTACACCTTTCCTCATCACTACCATGGTGTGCTACACACAAGATGTTTCTTTCAGACGGCGAGAGATCCAACTTCCCTTTAAAAAGGAATAATATGTGTATATATATATATATATATATATATATATATATATATATATATATATATATATATATATATATATATTGTATGATACAGTGGGTTCACACCTAAATATAATATGTCCCAACTTTAAATAGAGAATCAGTTATCGGATTCAGACACTACGATTGCCTCTCATGGTTACAACAGAAAGCCGTTGGACACAATCTCTGTCTCTCATTCCTTTCGTTGTGATTATGTGTAGTAACACAAATCCATTGAAGATATCAGCCGTTTTGTGGATGTTTGCATTCTCCATGGCAGTGGTAGGAACAGCACTACCGTAAGGACGTTAAGTTCCACTGAATGGCTTGGAATAAAAAAATAAAAAATAGTTTGACCTACCAGAATCTCAATCACCTGCAGCATCGACGCCCCGCTCGCTCCGTCAACAACTCAACACTTTGTGTTTTTACCTCCATATCGACATTGGTTTGATATTACTTCGAGATGGGATTTCGATACTTTGTTTCCATCGCTGTTGCACAGTCAAGGGAAGCCCTTCATCGGCTAAAGGCGCGGGCCGGAGGAGGCTCAGTCTGGGCCGCGCCGGTCACCCTCGGGACTGTGTTTCCATCTCAAGGAAAAGCCCCACGGCCATTTTATCTCCAGCTGTGGTGGATGGAGATCTAATGGACCACTATCACTGCTTGGGCCTTAACGTGAACGGCGTATCCGTGTCCGGTGCATGCGCTCCGACACGTGAGGCGTCGCAGCCTGGAATATGGTCTTAATATAACCTATATGCTTTCCCGCTCGCCGGTAAAATCCACACTAGACCAGTAAGAAACAGTTGCACTGTGATCTGAACTAGAGAACACCCTCAAATAAACGTGCAGGATGGAAAACGTCCGTATGAGGTTG